AGGAGGTGAGGGGCCGTGGTCCAGGTGGAAAGCAGCTGCCAGCCTGAAAGAGGAGGCTTTGGCTTGGCACTGGGTTGGCCGGGGATTTGGGGTGGCCCGGAGGCTACGTTCCACGAGTCTGTCGTGGGAGCTGGGGCAGAGACCAGGGAAGGGCTGAAGGTCAAGAAGATTGGGTCCACACTGTGGTGTGTGAGGCTGGGATGTAAGCAAGGTCTCCCACCATCTGCAGGAGATCCGCGTTCTCCACGCCCACATCTCCGACACCTCGGTCATCGTCAAGATGGACAACAGCCGGGACCTCAACATGGACAGCATTGTGGCTGAGATCAAGGCTCAGTACGACGACATCGCCACCCGCAGCCGGGCTGAGGCCGAGTCCTGGTACCGCAGCAAGGTGAGGGGCACAGGACACCTGCCTCTAGGCATGACAGTGGGAGGGAAGCCAGGTATATATTAACAAGGCCTCTTCTGTCTGGGGCTTCTGGCCCTAGGGATGGTAACAGAAGGGCACACAACTCTCAGGTTCTAGTGTCTGGGCAGGGCTGCCCTGTATGGTTGCACAGGCTGAGCTCTGTACAACCTCCCAACCATCTGTGGGGTCCGAACGGGAGGAAACTCCATCCTGAGCCTCAGGAGCATCTCTGCTTCCCCCCAGTGCGAGGAGATGAAGGCCACGGTGATCCGGCACGGGGAGACCCTGCGCCGCACCAAGGAGGAGATCAACGAGCTGAACCGCATGATCCAGAGGCTGACCACCGAGGTCGAGAATGCCAAGTGCCAGGTATGGGTCGCCTGGGGCCTCCCCAGGGCCACACAGGCAGTGAGTGCCCCAGATGGGTCTCACCATTCATGATCCAGCTTCCTTGCATGACAAATGTCCCTGGTTGTGGTCCCTCAGGGGGACTCGGTTAATGAAGGGGAGACACCTGTTCTTGGGGTGTTCCCATCTGGGGGAGGGGAGAGACTGGACATCCCCAGGAAATGGACCGAGAGACCCAGGACCATAACCCACTCTGTTCTCTCCTGGGCCCCAGAACACCAAGCTGGAGACGGCAGTGACCCAGTCAGAGCAGCAGGGTGAGGCGGCCCTGAGCGACGCCCGCTGCAAGCTGGCCGAGCTGGAGGCCGCCCTGCAGAAGGCCAAGCAGGACATGGCCTGCCTGGTCAAGGAGTACCAGGAGGTGATGAACTCCAAGCTGGGCCTGGACATCGAGATCGCCACCTACAGGCGGCTGCTGGAGGGCGAGGAGCAGAGGTGAGAACCACACCTGTGAGAATACCTCTTCAATCTCCCCTGAACTGTGCTTTGAGCCAGGAGCCCATTTGCCTATCATTTGCATCTAATTTGCATCAAATTTATGTGGAGGTCAGGGGTTGTGAGCATTGCTCTCCCCAACTAATTTTTGTCTCTTTGCTCTCCCCACAAGGTTGTGTGAAGGCATTGGTGCTGTGAATGTCTGTAAGTAATCTACACTGTGGGTTCTGAACTGAGGGTTCGGGGTTCCTCTGGGCCAACTTTTTCTTAAAGGGCCAGATATTAAGGCTTGTGAGCCATCCAGACTCTGTCTCAACTACTGGACTCTGTCACTGTAATGTGAAAGCAGCTACAGCCATAAGCAATACCTAAGGAGTACATATGGCTTGCTTCCAATAAAACTTTATTTACAAACATAGGAGGCCAGCACAGGCCATAGTTTGCAACCCTGAAAGGAAGGAGGGAGTGTGGCAGTGAATGATTATGAATTAAATAGCTTTTTCCGCCTATAGGGAGGGCCTGGGAGAACAGTTTTTCAAGGATGCTTGAGGCCTGAGTGCAGGAAGGAGTGCCCAGGGGTGAGGGTGTTGGGGGGGAAGGGAGAAATAGAAATGAAACGGAGGCGCTCTGAACAAGAGTAGGGAGCCCCTGCCAGTAGGCAGGGGCCGCCAGCAACGACCTCGCACAGAGACTAATAAGCCCTGTTCTCCTCCCGCAGGCGTCAGCAGCTCCCGGGGCGGGGTGGTCTGCGGGGACCTCTGCGTGTCCGGCTCCCGGCCCGTGACCGGCAGCGTGTGCAGCGCCCCCTGCAGCGGTAACGTGGCGGTGAGCACCGGAATGTGCGCGCCCTGCGGCCAGAGGTGCAGCAGCAGCTCCCTGGTGCGGTTCTCGTAGTGCCCCCCGCTTTGTAAATGCATGGCTCTCGAAGTCAGCCGTCCCTGCCTTCTGCGGCGGGTCCGGGAGCAACCCCAAGTCCCGGGGCTTGAAGCGGAAGGGCTTTGAGAACCTGCGGGCCTGACCTGTCCAAACTGCAGCCTTATCTTCTTGCGTCTCCTCCACCTTCTCCCTCTCCTTCGCCCTTGCTCTTCGGAATTTCTTCCGGAGAGGGCCGGCCTCCCCGCCCAGCTGGCTGCCTCCCTCCTCCTCCTCCTCCCCCAGCCCCAGGAGGCTAAAATGCCTGCCTTCCCAGCCGTGGGCAGAAAGCCAATCCTGACTCGGGCTGCTCTGGGAGCCGGCCTGGCACAAACCTGTGGCTTCTAAGGGACAGACTGGCCCCAGGTCCCGTGGGCTGTGGACACGCCTCTAATCTCCTGGGCCTCCCCTGCCTTCCAAACCCTGGCGGTGACCGAGGCCGCGGCTCCACGGGGACATCTCTTGGTGGCTGCCTGGGCTCCCTCTCCCTCTGCTTTGTGTCCACGGTTCCAATAAAGCTCATGGGCCATATATATCATGCGCTCAGAAAAGCTCCCTTCTATGCCTCCGCCTGTGGATGTCCAGCCCGGTTTGGGCCCCTCAGAGTTCGCAGCCCAAGGGGAAGGAGGGCTGTCTCCGAAGTGCCCTGCCCCTGCCCGAAGGCCACATTCACACAGCCTGAAGGCTGCAGAGGGACCTGCAGGCAGCCCCAAATACCCAGACACTGAATGCAAGGAGGAGCTGGAAGGGAAGGGAGAGAGAGCAACCAGGAGGAGACTCAGCCAGGAGGGCCAGGGCCTGGCTCTCCTGACACCTATGCTAGGGAACTTTATCACTCACGGCTGGTGGGACACCGAAAGTCCACTTCCCCCACTCCCCTGTTCCACCTCCACCTCAATATATGAAAATTCCTGACCATGGGATCGAATATAGACCACCCCTCCCCCTAGAAACCAACACTCTCTTGATAGTCCCCCCTACACACGCCACCACCATCACCCCTGAGGCGTCCCAGACCCAGAGACCTCTCCACTACCCCCTCCCCACCATCCATCCCTTGTGCTGTTGCCCATCAGGAACAGATAGCCCCCATAGACCCTAAAAACACCCCCACACTCACACAGATGCACAGACTCCCTCCCCCCCCCCCAACACACACACACAGATGCTCTTATCAAGCAGATAATACACAGATGCCCCTCCCCCCACCAGGGGATCTAGACTCTGGGACTCCTTGAGCTTCCTCCTCCCAAACACACACAGATCTCCTCTTGCCGCCATCCTCACCCTCACAGAATCCCAGACCCAGAAGTCCCCTCCAGGGCCTGAGGGCCTGGCAGACCCAACACCAGCAAGGGCCAAGGGCGGGAGTTGGCTGGTGCGTCCGAAACCCAGGCCCGTGGCCACTGAAAGTCTGGGGCCTTCTCACAGCACAGGACATGGGGGTGGGGGTATGCAAACAGCCCTCCCCTCCCTGGGCAGGGGAAGGCTTCAGTGCCTACTTCCTGGGCAGAGCTGGCCTTCCCTGGGGTGTTTCTGGGCTTCAGGAGAGGGGCTGGACTCAGTCCCGCCCTGGGAAGAGGCCAAGGCCTCTCATGGGCTAAGAAAGAGCCACGCCCCTCAGAGCACCACCACCACGTCACCAGGGTGCTTTCCCAGTAGCCTGTACAAGTGGCTTCTCGGTATTCACAGCAGACCCCAACCTGTCCAGAGCTTCTTCCTTCCCACGGCTCCCCAACCAGCTTATGAAGCCAGGATCCCGGAGCCAGGATGGGTCTCACCCAGGCTTCAGAAAGGCTGCTTTATTGGAAGCGATTCTGACATCACTTTTGAGACGGCCTGGCCCTCTTGGGACCAGTGATGGGAGTCTTCCTGGGACCGTGGGGGGCAGTGCTACAGGTCTCCACACATCAGAGCTCATTTTCGGACGCTCCTGTGGGTGGTGGTGGAGGTCCTGGTGGAATAGGACTTGATGACCCCGGGCACCCCGCCGCTAGAGAAGGTCAGGGCATTGCTACCCATGGTTCCTCCGAAGGCCAGCCTGGCCAGCCCGCTGCCACCTCCGCCGGTGGAATTCACCACAGCTGTGAGAAAGGGGAGGAGGGCTCATCAGGTCAGCATGGGGGCCCCCACTTGAGGCCCCACCCCTCACTCCACCCTCCCCTCCTGCTGTACCTGTCCCTCCCCCTCCCCATTGCCTCACCTCAACCCCCCCTCCCCAGCCACTACCACTCTCCTCGGGGCCTGGGACAATGCACCACTGATGTCCCCCATGTCCCTGGGCCATTGAGCCTGACTGGCTGGGAGCCTCAGGGCACCTGCTAAAAGCTGGTGAGGGAAAGAAGCTCCTGTCCCAGACAAGGCCAGGCCCTCAAGCCAACGTGCCATCCTGTAGACCCAGTCTAGTCCAGACAGCACAGGAAATGGGCCGCAGCCAAGGACTTACCGATGTTCACAGCTCCTGCTCCATCTCCGGCCAGCCTGGGGGCAGAGGAGAGAGACCCGTGAGAGCCGCTGAAGGACGCCGTCCTGGGCCCCTCCATCCAGGCACCAGGCAGCACTGGTGTTCCCTCCCTGTCCCCACACATTAGTCTTCCTTCCACCTTGTTGCAGGAAGGGGACGTGACCTTGGGCAGTGTCTCAGAGCCTCCATTTCCTCACCTATAAATCGGGCCTAACTCAGTCCCGGCCACGCAGACTTGTTTGCGAGGGCTAAATAACATCATGAATTCACCTGAAGCCCTGAGCACACAGGATTCGGTGAATGGTAGCTGTTATTATTTATGAAGACAGTTGCCTCCCCTGACCAAATAATAACGTCTTCAAAGCGGGCCATAGCTTACTGATGCTTGGGTATCTGGTCCCCCACATGAAGTCTGGCATGTAGTAATTACTCAGTACGTATTGAAATAATTAGTGAATTGGAGATTTCATGAATGCAGCTAGGGAGCAGAAGGTAGTCAAGATGGCTTTAAGCCACCTCTGCTGGAAATAGGAAAGCCATGGGAGACAGCTGGATGTGTTTGTTTTGTGACTCACAGCTCCACTGTCACCAAGCCCTTGGCCTTGGGGTTGAGTTTACTCTGCAGTGGGGAGGGGAGACCTCACTTTACTTAGAAGGAGTGAGGGGAGCCCAGCTGGCCTCATCATTCCCAAATCCAGGAAGGGGGCAGAGCAAGGGCCAAGGGCAAGAGATGGATATGCCAGGAAGCTTCCAGGCCCCTTGCTCAACTGGCCCCTGCGAGTGCTGGTAATTGCTATTAGTTGTAGGAGGGGAGGGAAACTGGGTTGCAATTAGGCTAGCAATTCCATGTAATGATTTCTGGCACCACGCCTCAAGGACACAGAAGGAAGAGACCTGAATGTCTAAGGCTCTAATGATGGGTGTGATTTTCTTTTCTCATCCCAACTATCTGTTTTGGGGCAATGTGATATTTGTAACTCTGTATTCTTAAACGAAGGCACCCCAACTTGTATGAGTTCCTAAGATCACAAATCCTAGGTCTGCACCTGGGAAGAGTCCAGGGGGTGAGGGATAAAAACACGAAGAGTCCATCTCCATGTCTCCTAAGAGTGGAGAGAGGACCGTTTCCTCTTGGAGAACCAGGATGTAAGCCCCGATGGTAGCAACCGACCCTGAGATTAGGCTTTGGAGGGGGGAATGTTTCCACTCTCTGTGTAACCTTGGCCATGCCACTCCCCATCCCTGAGCTTCAGCCTGCTCAGCTGCCCATGGGAAGAAGAAGATCAGGCCCCGTTCTAAGGGTCCCCAGCTCTGGTTCTATGAGGAAAAGAGGCCCAGGGTATGTGTTCCCAGGAGAGTGCTGTCCCTGGACCTGTGGTGGAGATGGGTGCAGAGATAAGCATCACAGCTGGGATAGTTGGCCTCTGGAGGGGCTCTGTGCCCCAGATCAGCTGCTCTCTCTTCTCAGAGGCTTCTGTGTTCAATCCCTCTTCCCGCAAAGCCTGGGTGCCAACCCAGGTAGGGGATGGGTCAACTGTAATAGCAGAGACTGGTGTTCTTCTCCTTCCTCGACTCACATATCCTATAACCATGTTTCTTCTCTCCCTCCTCCCTGCAGCCAGGTACTCTACCCTAGCACTCGCTCATTCCTCCATTCCTTCCTCTCCATTCATTCATCCTCTGGCCTCTCCGGCCCCTCAGGAATAATGCTCCCAAAAGAAAAAGTTCTGTGTAAATTCAGCCTTTTATGAATGCAAGTGAGTTGTCTCTAGGTGCTTCCTTTGCAAATGTTTGGTCTCCTTGGCCTCCGTACAATCTCCCCAAGGGCAGAAGCGTGTCTTTTTTGTTTTGTTTTGTTTTTGAGTGAGAGAGCGCACAAGCAGGGGAGGAGCAGAGAGAGAGGGAGACACAGAATCCGAAGCAGGCTCAGGCTCTGAGCTGTCAGCACAGAGTCCGACGCGGGGCTCAAAGCCATAAGCAGTGAGATCATGACCTGAGCCAAAGTTGGACACTTAACCGACCGAGCCACCCAGGCTCCCCAGAAGCCTATCTTACGAATTACCTATCTCCGTGCTGGGTTCCACTAAGGCAAACCATGGTGAGTCCTACTTCCAAGCCGGGGCCCACGCTGTTCCCTCTCACCCTCTCCAAGCCCTAACCTTCACCAGAGGCACAACTCTAAAGCCTTGCAAATTGACTGAATGAATCAACCAACCCATCAGGGCAAGAATGAAGGCCCAACATCACAGACATAGGTTCCAAGTCTTTCACAAAGAATTCCTATAACACTGACCCAGCCCACCCTGGTCTCTGGCAGCAGGAATGCAAATATCTCTGGGACCTCGCCACATTCAGTCAACATCCTACGACTTAGCACTCAGTTATGCAGCGAGAAGCAGCCTGGCATTGTAGAAGATGCTTGGACCAGGAATCGGCAGAGCATGACTGCACACCTGACTTGCCCTTTTAATTCATAAAACGAAACCACAGTGTCCCCTCTGTAAACTAGAAACCATGCCCGCCCCACTTACCTCAATGTGTTATGAGGATCAAATAAGACAACCCTGGGGGCGCCTGGGTGGCTCAGTCGGTTAAGCGACCGACTTCGGCTCAGGTCATGATCTCACTGCTCACGGGTTCGAGCCCCACATCTGGCTCTGTGCTGACAGCCCAGAGCCTGGAGTCTGTTTCACATTCTGTGTCTCCCTCTCTTCTCTGCCCCTCCCCCACTCTCACTCTGTCTCTCAAAAATGAATAAATGTTAAAAAATGTAAAAAAAAAAAAAAGATGACCCTGGCCACACATATGAAGGGGCTGTTATTACTCCAGCTTTCTCATTCAGCTTTACTTCACGTGGTTTTTCCTACCACAAGGTCATCTTATCAAGGGCAAAGAAGCAAGCATCAGCTATTCTCTCCCTGCATTTCCTGTCCCTCACCCCCGTGCCTTGCAGAAAAGAGTACACAGGAAATGCCTGTGGATGGATGAATGGCAAGCCCCAGTCCCGACTGAGCCCCAGAAGGATCCCCTTCCTGGCTTCTGTGACCTCACCGGCTCTCCTCGCCCTCCAGCAGCTTGCGGTAGGTGGCGATCTCGATGTCCAGGGCCATCTTGACGTTCATGAGCTCTTGGTACTCGCGCAGCTGCCGCGCCATGTCCTGCTTGGCCTGGTGCAGGGCGGCCTCCACCTCGTCCAGCTTGGCCCGTGCATCCTTGAGAGTCAGCTCCCCGTGTTCTTCGGCCTCTGCAATGGCAGCCTCCAACTTGGCACACTTTAAGCAATAGCACAGCTGTGAGCTGGGGGCGAGGCTTCACCAGTCACTGCCTTCCTGCCTCCCCAGTCGGCAGCAAGCGCCGGGGCAACTGGCTCAGTGGTTTTATTGGCACCATCCTACTCCTCCAGCACCGGGAACCCCAAGGATTAAAAGCATAGACTGACACCCAATGCCTCGGCTCCAGTTCCAGCTCTACCACTTAGGAACCACATGATCTTGGACACATCAACCCTTCAAGGCCAAAGTCTCCTCTCTTCTAAAACAGCAGTAACCCCGGTGTCTACCTCACCGGGAGACTGCAGGGATTAAATGAGGTACTACACACAAGTCCCTGGCACAAGGTCTAGCATACAGTAAGTGCTTAATAAATGCTATTGTAATCATTATTATTTTTTGTCAACCACCAATCTGTTCTCTGTTTCTAGTTCTGTTTTTTTAGATTCCACCTATAAGTGAGATGATACAGTATTTGTCTTTCTCTGACATCTTTCGCTCAGCATAACGCCCTCAAGGTTTGTGTTGTCGCAAATGGCAGGATTTTTTTCTTTTTCATGGCTGAGTAATAGTCTCTTTTGTGGCTGAATAATATAATATAATATAAAATATAATACGTAACATATTATGTATGTTATGTATATTATTATATATGTAACATAATATGTAATGTGTGGTGTGTATTATAATATAATAATGTATTATATAACATGTAATATAATATATATAATATCACACTTCCTTTATTAATTCATCCATTAATGGACAATTTAGGTTGGTTGCATGTCTTGGCTATTGTAAAAAATGCTGCAATGAAGATAGGGGTGCAGGTGTCTCTTTGAGACGGTTATTTTATGTCCTTTGGATATATACCCAGAAATTGAATTGCTGAATTGTATGGTGGTTCTATTTTTAGTTTTGGGGGGAACTTCCATACTGTTTTCCACAGTGGCTGTGCTAATGTACATTCCCACCAACAGTGCCCAGGGTACCCTTCCCTCCACGTTCTTGACAACACTTGTTACCACTTACTATAATCACTATAATTAATAAATGCTATTAGGATTCACACATGCCCGTCCCTCCATTCCCCAGCCGGAGGAGATCCAGAGCCACGGGATCTTCGTTGAGTCCCCAGGATTCAGGCAGCTGGCCAGAACAAAACCCGTCTTCAAAACAGGTCCAGGTCAGGGGGATTTGGAGCAAAGGGACACTACTTAGAACCCCCAGACCCAAAATGTCTGATCAACAGCCCCCCTGGTTTGGGCCAGGTTGGTTGGATTCATGATGGACCAGAGACGCCGCTTCCTCCCTCCCCAGCAGCCCAGCACTCCCCCTGCCTCCTCACCGGCCACTCTCTGTCCTCAGACCCTCCCTTGTCTCCAGTGAGCCCTGCCCCCCCGGCCAGCCTTCCCGATGATCCTGGATCCTCTCAGGAGGCCCTCTCCTAGCCACCCGTCAGTGCCCTTCCCTATCCCACCAGTGCCCCCTTGGCCAGGGCCACCTGGCTGCCTCTGGGCCCCTCGATGGTGGTCACCCCAACGCCGGGGCCCGGCTCTGCCGTGTTGTACAAGAGCAGAACCAGACGTGGGAGAAGCTACAGGACTTGGGAAGCCGGCACACGTCATGTTGTGCCTCCCCTCCTGGCCGGGAAGCTGGCTGGCTTTGCCAGCGGTGCACAGTCCTGCATCTGTGCCAGGAGCCCGCCTCCGCCCTCACCCTCGGGTCAAGTGGCCTGCAGGGCTCCAAGGGGCCGGCCTTTCTGGGTAAATCACCCCCACCTCCCGTCCCCCCAGCTCAATCTGGAAATGAGCTCATTGGAGCTGTAGCACCAGTTACATGCCCTGCCTCCCCACTGAGGACACCCGCCGAGGGCTTCGATGCCCTGTCTGTCCCCACACCTTGGGGGAGAGCTGCCCCACCCCCTCCTCAACACCTACCCCCTGCTAGCTACACAGCACACCCTCCCTTCAGCCTGTCTCAGAAGCCTGTGCCCCGGCATGGGCGCATTATTTATATTTCAGTGGGGGTGGGAGACAGTCAACCACTTAATGAATAAGACAGAAAACCAGAGAGTGATAGATGTTTCGGGGAGCTTCCAAAACACTGCTGACAGAGTGGCTGGCTATTGAGGAAGCCACCTCTGTAAAGGGGACTTGTGTCCAAAACCCCAGGGATGACGAAGGGGTGGCCGTGTGCTGAGCTGGGAGAGCCACATTCCGAGAGGAGGGAACACCAAGTGCAAAGGCCCTGAAGCATGAACGTGTCTGGCAAACGCAAGATGCAGGAAGCAGGCTAGTGTGGCTGGAGCACAGTGAGAGGCAGTGAGTGGTAGGGAGTGAGGGACAGGACCTTGTGAACCACACTAGGGTGTCTGCTGGACTCTGTCCCTCGAATCCCTGCAGACTGCGAGCCCCCAGGTACGGCACGTTGCACCCAGAGCGAGGCGCAAGGAGAGTGCTCAGTACCAACTTGGTAACGAAGGGTGGCTTTTCTCGGGCTGGGCAGCCTGAGTGTCCCGCCACAGGCTCTATGTCCAGCTAGGACTCCTCTCCTCCCTCTGGTCGGAGCCAGGAACTGGCCATGAAAGTCCTGTCCTGGAGATTTCACGTGGGCTTGTGAGATCTCGTGGGGCCCGCGAGACTTGAGCTGCACCAGCCTCGGGGTGGGAGAGCTTGTTCTCAGATGGCCGCCCTTCACGTACCCCAAGAAACAGGGAGGAGCAGGGAAGAGGGCTTGTTCCCACCTGGTTCTTGATGCTGTCGATCTCAGCCTGCAGCCTCTGGATGGCACGGTTCATCTCTGCAATCTCGTTCCGAGTATTCCGGAGGTCATCCCTATGCTTCCCAGCCTGGGCCTGGAGGGTCTCAAACTGCAGGGCCGCACAAAGACACATGGTGGGAAGTTGGTCAGAGATTACAGGGGACTTCTCCCTTGTCCCATCCAACGAAGGCCCAAGGTTCTGAGTGATGAGACCTCCCAAGAAGCCACGCTCTGACCCCCAGCAATCTTCACACCCTGCCAGCAAGCGAGCTTATCAGGCAGTGGGGTGTACAGGGGTTTGCTTCCCTCCCTTTCGGGATAGGAAGGGCAAAGTTGGCTCCCTGGGGCCCAACCCCATTGATCCTGGGGCTCCACCCATCCCATCGTATCCCACGAGCTGGAGAATCACTTGATGTCTGAGATCCTCACCTGTTAAACAAACCCCTATTAAAAACACACTTATTAAAAACATCAGCAGCACCCATTCTGCAGATGGGAAGAATGAGTCCTGGAGAATGGAAGCCACTGCCCCAGGATCATACAGCAAGTCTGAACCCAGGTCACCTTGTTGGCAATCCTGTGCTCTCGCCCATGTCCCGTGGATGACTCCCTATCTCGCCAGAGACATCCCTCAGCTGCTTTAAATGCTGCCTCAGGCTCCCTACCCCAGAACACTGGTGTACCCCCACACTCCCTCAGCACCTGCATAGTCAGCCACCCTGTCTCCATACCGCATGTGTACTGATCAAACCTCTCTGGTCTGGAGACCTAGGACCCAGGATCTAGTCCCTACCCTTCCATCTACTAGCTATGTGGGGTTAGGCAAATTACTTGACCTCTCTGTGCTTCAGGTTCCTCTACCCTGGCCCCCCATTTGGTTGGGATCTCTTCCTGGGGAGGGACCTGGCCTTCACATCTTCTTCTTCCCAGGGCACTGGCGAATACCATAGACTTAACCACTGGTGCCTGCCAGGACACTGGGACCCACACCCTAGAGGCTTGAGACAGGCGAGGAGTAAGGGAAGCTGCCACCGAGGACCCTGCCAGGAAGAAAAGAGGACCCTCAGCAGCCTCACACCTTGGTCTGGTACCAGGACTCGGCCTCAGCCCGGCTGCGGCTGGCGATGTCCTCGTACTGGGCCTTGACCTCGGCGATGATGCCATCCAGGTCCAGGGAGCGGCTGTTGTCCATGGACAGCACCACGGACGTGTCCGAGATCTGGGACTGCAGCTCCGCCAACTCCTGCGGGGACCAGATGGGATGTCAGGACTTGGGGCAGGACCCATCCCTGTTCCGGCATCCATCCCGGGACCCCGCCCCTCACACTAGGGGAAGGCAAAGGGAGAAGAGGTCAGAGTGGGTGCGAGTCACCAGGAGGCGAGAAGGCACAGACCCAGCACCTGCTAAATAGCCCGCCCACCTCTGGCAGCCAAGGGAGCCCATTAGTAACTTCTCAGTAAGAGTCTGATGGGATTCCAGCAGATAAAGAAGTGACAGAATGTGATGAGCTGTAATTGCTCCTTCTGTGAGCTTTGGTGTGGCATGAGCTCAGTTGTGAAGCAGATCACTAGGGGGCGGGTGAAACAAAATATCCCACCCTATAACGGAACTCTCTCCAGCCTTCAAAGCTGATGATGTGATGGGGCGCCTGGGTGGCTCAGTCAGTTAAGCGTCCAACTTCAGCCTAGGTCATGATCTCGTGTTTCATGAGTTCAACCCCAGCATTGGGCTCTGTGCTGACAGCTCAGAGCCTGGAGCCTGCTTCAGATTCCATGTCTCCCTCCCTCCCCCTCCCTGCTCATGCTGTCTCTCAAAAATAAATAAACGTTAAAAAACTAAAATTAAAAAAATTGATGATATGGCTGTATGTATAGCCATGATACACCATTACATGAAAAAAAAATATGCTCCTATTTCTATTAAATATATATTTCTAAATCTCTCTGTGTGTACAGGCACAGAAAAAGTCTGAAAAGGTAGATATCAAGATGATAAGAACACAGATAAATGACCTGTTTTCAGTTTTGTGCTTGACTTGATTTTCTGGATTTTTGGCCATGAGCATGTATTTCTTTCATAATGAGAGGAAAATAATTAAATCCACATATACATATATGTGTGCACACATATATATACAGAGACACGCATATATATAACATGCAACAGACGCATGAAGGCCTGAGCAGAGATCAGAACACCTGTAGGACACCCTTAAGAAGCCAGCCCCTGCATTAACACACGTGGAAATTCACTGAGGGGCTAATGGAGGCTGGACGTTCACAAAAGCCAGACTGAAAGGAGTTGAGAACTGGTCTATAATTAATCTCATGTATAATAAAGTCCCAGACCAGCCCTGCCAGATGTCTGGCTATCCTATCTTCTGCTGAAGGCCAGAGACTCCCACTGATAGGAGTGGAGAGGTTCTAGATCCCCAAACGGAAAAATCGCTGAAAGCCCAAGGCAGGGGAAGAAGGAGTGAAAGAGACCACAGGGGCAGGCAGAGTGGCCTGTTGGTAGGAGGCCACCCATCCTGTCCCTCTGGGCATAAACCCCTAGGCACTCCAGTCTCTCCTGACCGCCTGCCCAGCCCACCCAGCCCACCTCTGATCTCTGTCACAGCCCGGGATCCCTAGACATCCTCCTGGTTCCTTCCAAGCCCTCCCTCCCAACACCCCTCTTAACAGTGATCCCATGTCTCAGGAAGGCCAATCCTAACTGACCCCACCCTGCTCTGCTACCCTCAGCCCCTCCTAAACTGTCTGCCCACCATGGATTCCTGAATCCTGAAAAGATAAAGAAGAAGATAAGTGTGTGCGCACACACTCAACACACACCCAGACAGCCCAGAGGCAGACGGTAAGCCCCTGGGTTAGGACACAGAAGACATGACGTGGCTCCCACATCCCAGGTTCTCACCGTCTCGTAGAGGGTCTTGAAGAAGCTGATCTCATCATTCAGGGCATCCAACTTGGTCTCCAACTCCACCTTGTTCATGTAGGCAGTGTCCACGTCCTGGGGCGTGGGAGGTGGCGAAAAGGGGTAGACAGACGCCACGGCTTCATACGCAGACCGTTTAGCGGAATGGGAGCAACCAGCACTGTCCAACCCACAGGCTCAAACACCAGGGCCCCACCAAAAAACATACCATTTCTCCAGACTGTGCGACCTGGCCATAGGAGATTCCCCTGCTGGGCCCTCCCAGGCTACGCGAGGAACATCATCTCTGTGCATCATTCTAGGCACCGTACTGGTGCCTGCCTTCCCAGCACTGGTAGCCCAAAGCAGCCTGCAGCCCCAAACCTGCCACTCTACCAGTTCCTGGCTGGTGGCCTGGACACAGCCCCGGCTCTCCCACCTCCTAGCCATGTGACCTTGAACAAATCACTTCAACTCTGTGAGCCTCAACGTCTTATGAAAGAGGAGAGCACAAAATCCTTCAGACTGCAGGATAAGGCTTGTAGACAAGGAGGCTCTCCAGCCTAAATGCAGCTTAGGAAACTGTGACACAGGTAAGCCACAGATAACAGTGCAAGCCCAGGTGACCCTGGGGAGCCACACATTCCTGTGCCCAAACTCCAGTGGGTAAGGCCCGCTTTTATTCATCCCCAAAGTTCCTAAATGCACCCTGGGGCAGGTTGTCTTCATGTGGATAGGCCATGAACACTGAGTTGCCCAGTGAGTGGACTGAATTGGAATCTGAAATCAAGCCCCTCTAAGATATTCCTAGGACCCTCCAACCTCGGCTTGCACTTCTCCAGGGACAGGGAGGTGGCTCTGCCTCAGACAGCCCATCACATTCCTTCCGCAAATACTTGAGCCCTGCCGTTTGCCAACCTTTGTCCGTCGTGAAATGTTCTGACTGTGACAGAGCACTTCCCTACTTGGGCTTGAAGTCTCCCTTACTAACCTGCATCTTTTGGTCTTAACTCTAACTCCTCAAGGCCAAAAACAAGTCTAGTAACTCACCAGACATGCACACAGACACAGGAGACAGGCCGTGTATGAGGGCCTGGCTTCCAGACTTCTCCTTCTCCAAGCCCATCGCACCCTTCTTGTAGTACCACAGGTCCCTACTGGCTGACTGCTCAGGTGTGAGGGCCACATGGTCCCCCCCATATGTTCTCAGACAATGCCCCCCACACCTGGCCTGTCTGCCCCCTCACCTTTTTCAGCACCACGAACTCATTCTCAGCAGCCGTGCGACGGTTAATTTCATCTTCGTACCTGCAGGAGACGGAGGGTGCGTGGTGTGGGTGCAGCTTTGCCTCTGTCCCCCCTCCTATCCAGGTGTGGAACCCTGCCCCGCATTGACTTCACCCCTCCTTCATGACACGCCTGGGAAAATGGGTGTCAGCTGTGCAACCAAATGGCCCTGACTTTCCCGTATAGCTATTCCTGAGGCTAGGAATCCCGGCACGGGATGAAAACGGGGAGAGGAGGGAATTCTTAGGAAGTATAGGACGAAAGCTGCACATCATAGGAGCGAGAAAGCAATAGTAAGAGCCGTGCTTAGGGACTACTTCAACTGGGGTCTGCGCTGCTAGGCGCTAACCATGGATTAGCTCACTTACCCCCCACAGCAACCGCGTAACAACGGTACCATGATCAGCAGGAGGAACAGAGTGGGACATAATCTGTCGAGTCACTACGTTAAGTGGCAAAGCCCAGACTTAAACCCTGGCCGTCTAGCTCTAGCCCCATGCCCTAACGGCTACCTAATCCCACCTTCAGGAGGCAAAGAAGAAGCCCAACACAGAGGAAACTTACAAACTCAGGAAGAGGGTGCAGCCAAGTTCTGGGGAAGAACCAGACCCCAAGCAGGCGGTCTGGCTCCATCCCTGCTTCCACAGGGCACCCCCTCCCCATCCCTCCTTCTCCCAAGAATCCAGCCCCACCTGTAGGAGGACACTGGCAATTCAGGACACAGAGCAAGAGATCACTTGGGCCTGACCCAGCATGTATGTAGGAATTTTTTTTTAAAGCATCAGAAACAGGAACGCAGCAGTGCCCAAGGACTACAGGAGGGCAGCAGGGCAACTATGACAGAAGCAGGCAGAGCTCCTCCGGGTGCCCAGATGCCCAACGCCCCACTCCCTCGGGTTCTATAGAATAGTTGTGGAAATATCCGGAAGGCCATCTGTTCGCTCTTGCCTCAGCACCACGCTGCTGAGCCCAGAAGGTACACAAACAGGCCCTCACTGGGCAGCTGCCCCTCCCTGTGCCCTTCCCAGGCCTCCCTCGGCCCCAATCCTGAGCTCAGCCTGGCTCTACAATCAAGTGCTCTACACGTAGGCTCTGGAGTGAGGGTGTATGTGAGTGCACGCGCACGCGCACACATGACAACCGAGGCTCACTGGTTGCCCATGGCTTTCTCTGCTCTGCACCTGCCTGCTTCCACCTGCTGCGGGATTATTGCTGTTGACTGTCGCTCTAGGGAAGTAGGGGAGTGGGCACCCTCCACAGAGGCCTTTTTGTTTGTTCTGCCTCCGGTCACGGCTCGGCTGAGTCATGGACCTCCAGGGCAGAGCACAAAACTCACTCACTGCTCCCAGCACCACTGGGCAGTATGCTAGGGTGGGGCTCGGCCCAAGCCTCTGGCTTCGGTTTCTCTTCAGTGGCACAAGGGAATTCAGTGGGCACCTCAAAGGCTTGTCCTTAAACGCCCCCCCCATCTTCCAGGCCCCTGCATGCCAGCCTCCTGTCTGTTCCTGCACTGACCCGAGCCACCCCTCAGCCTCTGCCACCCTCCCGTGGGTCACAGCAATCCCTCCTCTCCTTGCTTCTTTCAGTCCCACGTCAGCTCTGTGTCCCCTCCCAGGAGTCAGGGGCCCGACTCTCAAGTCCTGCAAGGTGATCTCCATCAGGACCTCGAATCTCTCTGGTCTCTAACTCCTCATCTAAACAGAGGGGCGGTTCTAGAATAATCTGTAAGGGCCCTCCCCATTCTGAAGCACATCTGTCACAGGACACCTTCAGTCCTACCCTGTCCTGAGGCCTTAGTCAGGCACCCAAAGCGAACAGCGCTGGTCGGGGCTGAGCGGGGATATCTCCCTGGGAGGAAGTCGGGTGAGAAGACTCGGAAGCAGCACCCCAGGAACAAAGAGAGGAAAGGAGAGACAGGGAGTGTGTTGGTCAAGGCCTTCCCTTCAGGGGTTGCTGCACTGAGCAGCTACACCCTTGACCGCTAAGCCCAGAAGGGGCTCGCCGAGAATCAGCCAGGAGGGGTGCGGGGCGCGGGGTGCGGACGCCCCAGGGCACAGCGCGCTGGGGCCAGTACTTGTTCTTGAAGTCCTCCACGACGTCCTGCATGTTCCGCAGCTCCACCTCCAGGCGGCCCCCTTCCAGCTGCAGCCCGTCCAGCTGCCGCCGCAGGCCAGCAATGTGGGCCTCGAAGAGGCTGGGGAGGCTGCTGCTCTTGGCCGACCTCTGCTCCTGCAGCAGGGTCCACTTGGTCTCCAGCAGCTTGTTCTGCTGCTCTAGAAACCGCACCTGAGGGGGAAAGAGGGGGAAACTCACGAGGGGCAGGCTATGTCACCCACACTGGGCTTGGGAGGGTCTCCACCCACCCAGCACAGCCCATGCTCCCAACCTCCCCTAAGCCATTGGTCCCCTCCTCCAGGTCTCTCAGTCTTAAGTGTCTTAGAGCATGACCCAGGGGTCAGGTCCATCCGGTCCCCAATGTGTCCCCTCCCACCTATGTCCCCCACCACACTGCAGAGGACCTTCTCCGCCTCCCTCTCCAAAGGGCTGCCCCTTCCCTGTCTGATCCTCCTCCCTCAGGATCCTCTCTCCGCCTGCCCTTTCCTCCGAGGTCTCAGGACAGGATGCTACAATCAAGTCGATGTAAAATGAGCACCTACTAGATGCTCAGCCTGGGGCCTCAAACTAGCAACTAGGAGCAGCAGGACCGGGGGGGGGGGGGGGGGGGGGGGGGGGCTGCAGACAGTAAGGTAGAGCGGCTCAACAGCAGGGGAGGACCCTGGGCCTGGGAGAGGCTTCAAGAGAACCTCAAGGATGTACACAGTGTGAATGGTGAAGGGGAGGGCACGGGGCGGGGAAAAGAGACAGCTACATCAAAGCCGGGGAGGTCTGTACCCCGGGAGGGAGGAGGCCCTGGCCAGAGGGGCCTAGCTGGGCTAGCCCTTAGCTCCTGATCCAGCTCCACTCTGCTCCCCTTCGCTCCCCTCCTAGACCTCCCGACAAGTCTGCTCCTCCCCTTCCCAACTCTCACTCTCTCGCCCCCACTCCCTCCCCCACCCCTGTGGGACCCAAACATCCAGGAAAAAACCCTTCCAAATGGCCCTTCCCCTGGGCCTCTCAGTGTCCCCTCCCCCTCCCGGGGGGGTGGCTATCTCCAAGGCACTGGCTCCCACTACCAAAGGGAGACCGGAGGACCAGTTAGGTGGGCAGGTGAGGCAGGGAGCCTCCCTCCCTCCTTCTAGCCCTTGATTCTCAGCATCTGCCCCAGCATGAGCAGGAGGAGGAGGGGGGATCTCCTGAACTGGGAAGGGGTGTGTCACCCCCGACCCCCATCTCTTACTCCACACAGCCCCCTCCCAGAGAAACTCCTGGCCCTGGTCTCTGGAGCTCCCAGCCTGAATCGGCCAAGAACCACAGCCAACTCACAGACACCGCGCGAGCGGCCAGCTGGGGCTGCCTGACAGACTCAAGCCCACATCCTGGGAAGAAAAGGCAGGGCGATTTGGGCAGCTGTCTGGAAGAGGAGGCTTGGAGACTGAGGGGCGGAAATAGCCACAGGGCTCACGAGAAGGAGAAAAGTTCCTGATATTGGCGGAAAGAGAACGCACCAGGCCTGCCGGCGGCGCCTGGCTCTGGGGCGACTGTTGTGGCCCCGAGCGTGGCTTGGGGCACAGTACGGCCGCTCACCTTGTCGATGAAGGAGGCGAACTTGTTGTTGAGGGTCTTGATCTGCTCTCGCTCCTCCTTGCGCACCTGCTGGATGGAGGGGTCGATGTCCATCCGCAGCGGGGTCAGCAGGCTCTGGTTGATGGTGACCTCGCGGATGCCGGCGCCCACCGGGCCCCAGTGGCTGGAGCGCACGGACGCCCGCGGCCGCGTGGCGCCCAGGCCGTAGAGGCTGCGGCTGCTGAAGCCGCCGCTGCCTGGGAGCAGGGAGCTCAGGCGCACCTGGGCGCCGGGACCCGGGAAGGCGGCGGAGCGCGAGCTGAAGACCTGGGAGCTTAAGTGGATGGACATGCTGGCTGGACCGGGCTGGACCTAGTGGCGGGCTCGAGGGAGCCGAACTCGCTGACCTCCCGAGGCCCGGTGGCTTTTATCCGCTAGGCTCCGGCGGATCGGCTTACACAGGTAGGGGCGGGGCTGGCCGCCGGCCACCCTTGGCTGCTGCAAGGCCCCTCCCCGGCCACACTTCCGCTCCCCGAGCCCAGGCCCCAGGCCGTGCTTTTGGGTCCAAGCTGAAAGGTCCCAAGTAGGGGAGCAGGGCCGTAGACCCCCAGCGCCCCGGATGCGGGCTGAGTGGTGGGAGACAGCCAGCTGAGCGGATCTGAAACAGGTTCAGTGTTCCGGGAGGAGGCTTGGCAAGATTCCTGAGGCCAGAGCAGAGAGATCAAGCCGGAAAAGACTGGGGGAAGGGGTGAACAAAAAGTTCTAGTCTAGGAGTCAGCCCCCAGCTCCCTTCCCCAGGCATTCCAGAAAGGCATTCCCTGACAGCCCCCAGCCCCCAAGTCAAGTTCCTCCTTGAGAGATCAGCTCAGTTCTTGAGTAATCTGACCCCAAGGTGGCCTGGCCTAGCTAGTTTCCCTGGCCATTCCACCTGATTTCCTTATAGAAACTAGGCCAAGTGGGCACGACCCCTCTTTGGTCCCTCTCTTCACTCCAATGGGCATCCAAAGCCCAGAGACGCTGTGGAATGGTCGCCTTGGGGCCGTGCTTCCCCCCCACCCCTAAGTCACATTCCTATCCCCTTAATGTATTTGCCCCTGGACAAGGGACACCTTGTGTAGAGGAAAGGGACACCTGCGGGTAGTTGGGACACTTTGTGGATATCTGTACACTTCCGTGTGTACACGCCTGCAGACCACTGGGCTTCTCTGTGTGCTCACCTGAGACGTGCGTATGTGTCTGTGAACGGTCTTGTGCAGGTTGAAGTCTGTCTTCGGTGTGTAGTGCGGTGTCTGTGGATGCACGGCTGCACACTTGTGTAGGCAGCTCTGAGCACTCTTGGGTTTGCACGCACACACTCCTCCCCATCTTCCACTGCCACCGTTTGCCTGTTTAAAGGTCCCCAGCTCTTATCGTGTCGCCCACCAAACAAGACCCAGTAGATTCAAACCCAATCCGAGATGGGGAGAAGCATGGCGCTGGGACAGGGGGCACTGGACCGAGACAGCTTCAGAGGGTTCCTTTCTGGGAGCCGCCAGCCAGGCTGGCCTAGCACTCTCCACACGGCGTCGCCCACACCCCCCACCCCGTTCTCCCCAGAAGCGGTTCAACGAGAGGCACCACCTAAGGAGCCTCTGGAAGAGACAGCTGACAGGTCTCCAGCCCCCTAGTGAGCAGGCCAGCTTGTCCACTCAGGCCGAGCCCTTGGGGACATCCTGGGTGGAGGTGGGTGGGGATGGAATGTCCTTCCTGGTTTTCATTTCAGGGAGATAAGAAGGATTTCCAGTGAAGCTGATCTCACAGCAACTCCTACCTACAGAGTGTTCTCCATGGAGGCACCCACCCCCAGCCCTCCCTCCGCTCCCTATTGGTGTTGGGACAGCTCAGGCCAGAGGCAGAGGGATGCCCATGGAGACTGCCAGTGGTCTCTGCTGTGGGGTGTGCGTGTGTCTCTGCACGGGAGAGAGAGATGTAACCTGGAAATTGTCAGTTGTAGTTTGGAGAACACACGGATTTCCTGGCCTGGTGATATTTGCAGTCATGGGGACCCCACTCCTCCCCAGCCCCCACCCCCAAGCCGGCTAAAGCAACCAACTGTTTAATTTACACACACACACACACACACACACACACACACACACTCTCCAACTTCCTTACCCCTCAGGGCTCCTTCTCAACTCTTTTCCCCACTCCCTCCTACCTCAACCCCCTACCCCTTAAACCTCACAACTCCACCCATGTTCTGCAGCCCCTCCTGCCCCCTCCCACCCGCAGCCCCCACAGGACCTGCCCCCCACCCACCCTTGCACTTCTCCCCTAGAGCCTGGCCCGAGCGATCTTGGGCAGAACACTGCTGGTGACCTGCCGTGTGACCCCGGACAAGTCACTGCCCCTCCCTGGGCCTAGTTTCTTCACCAGAGAAGAAATCCCAGGGTTCCACGGTGAGAGGGAGCTGGGAGGACGTTCAAAGGAGGCTTGCCAGGTCTGGCCTCAGCCTCCCCTTGACTAGTCTCCACCCCCTCAACCTCAGCATCCCCTCCTTGAAATATTCCCAGCAGCCCCAGCCCTGCACCCCAGGCTCCTCCCGCCTCTGCCTCTCGAGGCTGGCAGGCACCGCAAGCCCACTCCATGCCAGGCCGGCTGCACACATAAACACCCTCTGGAGGGCCTCCTGAGGAGCCGTCCACACGGAGAGGCTGGGGAGCGCATTCCTGCCTGCGTGAGTGCACAGCACAGAGGGCCACCTGAATGCCTTCTTCCAGTGCAGCCCATGCCTCTGCCGGCGTCACAGAGACCCCCCCCTTAGGACATTTGGGGCAGAATCTTAAGACAAGATAATCCCCGAAGCCTGAAGCCTCTCCTAGTCGTCTCTTTCCTGCGCAGAAGGCTCACCCCATCTCTGTAGTGTCGTGTGACACACGCACACCCACCAAGCACAGGCTCAGTGGCCCCTCACTCCCTACCTGGCTTCCCACTGCGCCTCCCTACCCCCCCCCCCAGCTCCCAGCCAGGAACCAACAATGGCTTGGCTGTACTAAACCCGCGGGGGACACTGTGGTCCTGCAGCACCCCCCCAGCCCCGGGAGGAATGGGCTGCTCCTCTCCTCTCCGTAGAGGCGATGGGACACTCTTTTGCCTCCTCCCTGCACTTTCAGAGCCATTCCTCACCGTCCATCCCCTGAAAACACAGCCTCTTGTTCCTAACAAAGAAAAAAAGCATGATTGGTTGTCATTAGCTTGGAATGCAAATGTTTGCAATCATAGCAAAAAAAAAACAAAAAAACCATGAAGCATTTCTGCACTGAACGTAATACTTTTTTTTTTTTTAAGTTAAATAGTGAAAGGCAACAAAGCAACATAAATGACAACCAACAGGCTACTTCCCTGAATATGTGATGCTGTCAAAAAAAAAAAAAAAGAAAAGAAAAGAAAAAGAAAAAGGCAACCCAGCAGGAAAGCGCGGGTAACAGACACAGATAATATGAGCTGGCAGTGCACAGAATACTTACTCTACAGGTGCCTGGCGCTGTCCTAAGCACATGGCATCTGTTCACCCGTGAAGTTCTCACAACAGCTTCTCATCCCAGCGTCATCGTCCCCATTTTAAGAGAGGGGACAGAGGCGCAATGAGTTTAAGAAAATGGCTCAAGGTCACACAGCTAAGACGTGAAAAATCCAGGATCTGAACTCTGGCAGTTGAACCACTAGATTACCCACAAAAAAAGAAAAAGAAAGAAAACCAAACAGCAGACATGAAAAACAAAATGCTCAACCTCACTCAAATTAAAGAAATGCAATAAGGATCACATACGGAAAGCCATATGCCCCATCAGATTGTCAGACTACAAAGCTTGGTAATGGTGACGGCAAACGTGTGGGCTTTGTCTCGTGTTCATGGGATCACCGCTTGGAGGTGAGTTGGCAGAGCTCTCAAAGTTAAAGTCCTTTGCCCTCCCCTCAATCAACAAAACAAATAAAATGAGTACACTTGTCCTTGACCAAGTACACCCACCGCCAGGAATTTATCCTACAGATGCTCTCACCAAGGTGCACACACATGGTCTCTGCTGCCCTTGGTTTCCATCAGCGAGAAACGGGCAACATTAGTGGGAAGAGATTAGGTGGACTAAGTTACATACTTTCAAAGGGTGCTATTTGCTGAAAAAAATCCTTTCTATGCTGATTGAGTTTTTGCCTTTATAAACTGGTTGCACAGATCCCTGCAGTATTTTTAAAAGCCAAAAAACTGTGGCTCGTCCCTGCTGGCCCCACAGTCAGCTCCTGACCTCCTGGCTGCTCCCTCACACCCACCAGGGACCCTGCCACGTAGCTCCCGGGGCTCCTCTCCAGCCTGGCACCCCCACTCTCCAGGCATATAGCCCACCCAGCATCTCAGCCAGACCATCCCTTAACTCCTCGATTCCAGCGATGTTCACATCCAACCTTTTCCTCTTGTCTCTGTCCATGGCCACGCTCTAGACCCCAAACCCCTCCATCCCTGGAGTGTCTGCTCTCACGCTACAGCACCAATCATAACTATCTCACTCAGCAGCTGGCTTCTTCAGCTGTACCAGCATCCCCAGGCCTGAACCCCATTATTCTGTTTTCTCCCCACCCACTACCCTCTTGGAGACTTTCTGTCCAGGCTGGACCTCTCAGACCCCTCAGTCTCTGAGGCCTGACTCTCCAGTCTCCTCCACCTGTACCCCCAGCCCGGCTCAGCCCCACTCAGCCTAAACACTGAACTCTCCTTGAGTTCCAAACTGCAGAGCATCCTTGAAGACCATACCCTCAAGATGCGGTGTCACCACCAACTCACAGTCCCCAGGCTCAGCCATATCCTCCTTGCTATTGGGTCCCTTTCTCTGCTTATGGTCAACAAGGCTTTCCGGTCCTCCTGGTTGCTGTGGCAAAGCTTCTCAACTCTCTTCCTGTCCTCCCCCCTCCCCCTCCCCCCATATCTTCAACAAAGTAACATAGCATTCTTCACTGAGAAAATCAGGCTGTCTGGTAAAAAAAAAAAAAAAAAAAAAAAGCCTTCCCTTCCCCTCCTCCACCCAAACCTCCCTCCCCACCTACCTTGTTCTTCCTCCCTCCAGGCTTTGAGGACAGATCTTGTCTCCACCAGGACACTAGCCTCTCTCACCTCCTCAGATAGAGCATTCTGTTCCTTGGTCACCACTTCTTAATACTGCCACCGTCTCGTTCTCCTCTCCCTCTGACTGCCTTTGCATGAATCTGCATGCCCTCCACTGGGGTTGTGGGGGCAGATGCCAGATGTCAGTGGGCTGCAGTTTGAACGGGGAGCGGAAGTGGAATCAGTGGGTGCCCACTACAATTTCTCGGACAGTTTGACTGTAAGAGAAAGTAAGGGGAAGTTAGCTTGCATGGAAAGCGAGCTAAAGGAAAGGATTCCCATAGGATGAAGAGACTTGGAGATGCAGGTTGGTGGGGGGAAGGGAGAAAGGCCATAAGGAGAGATGTTAAAGATGAGGGGGTGGCAGTTTTGGCTTTAAGAGTCCGGAAAGGACCAGCCTAGCACATTCCTGTATGGCAGGAAGGAGCTAAGAATGGCCAAGGATATAGATGGACATTCAGACTGAGAAGTTTCTGCAGACGTTGAGAATGGCTATTTCTCAGGGATGATAAAAACGTTTTGTGAGGTTGCTCTGACCAAGTTCTCTACACTTGATCACCTTATGCATGTACATTCTCTAGTCTCCGTAAGAATGCCAGTTAACTCCCCCTAAAAGAGATCAGCAGTCTTAGTAGAAGCCACACAACACCCGCACGGCCCTCTGGTTTTGCTTTGATTGTCGTTTCCCAGCTGCACAACCTTGTAGTTCACCTCTGTGGGACTCAACTACTTCTTTTATACAATGGGAAGTTAATAGTGCCTGTCTCATGGGTTCTTTTAAGTCATAAAGAGAATGTTAGAAAATGTACTTAAAGACTCGGTATATGCAAGTTGTTGCCGATGTTGACGTTATTGTGAGATGGTCGTTGCCATGCTCTTGGAGATTCCTCTCCTCTCTACTGGTGAGAGCCCCAGAAGACTAGGACTTGAGACACCACCTCTCTGGATTTGGCCCTCATTTGATGACTGTGTGCTACTTGGGGTGTCTGCAGGGTCTTACGTTACCTGTGGTGTGCCACCACCCCCCACCCTGCTCCTGTCCTCCATCCCCAGGTCCATGCTGTCTTTCCTGCACGCCGGAAGTCCTCACCCACCTTCTCTCTCAGGCTATTGCATCCTGGTACAGTCACTTCCCATGTACCTGCTGAACTTTCTGGGCTTGTGGAGCCAGATATGCAAAATGTGGTTCCCCTACTTCTTGCGAAGGGTTCACCATGATGTACAACGAACAGATGGTGAGCAAGAAGCACGAGCTTTTCAGCAATCTGCCGGAGTTTGTGGGTCCCTCCAGGAAGCTCTCTCTGCTGGAAGTGGGCTGCGGCACCGGGGCCAACTTCAAGTTCTACCCGGCTGGATGCAGGGTGACTTGTATCGACCCCAACCCCAACTTTGAGAAGTTCTTGATCAAGAGCGTCGCTGAGAACCGACACCTGCAGTTCGAGTGCTTCGTGGTGGCTACGGGAGAGAACATGCAGCAGGTGGCCGATGGCTCCGTGGATGTGGTGGTCTGCACCCTAGTCCTGTGCTCCGTGCAGAGCCAGGAGCGGATCCTCCAGGAGGTGTGCCGAGTGCTGAGGCCGGTGAGTGAGGGGGAGGTGGAAGGTGGCCATCTCACTGTGAGCTAGGCTGGATGCCTCTGGGCTTCAGGCATAGCTTCCACTGAGGGTGACCTTAGGCAAGTCCCTTCACTCATTCATTTATTCACTTATTTATTTTATTTAACATTTATTTATTTTTGAGAGACAAAGACAGAGCACGAGCAGGAGAAGGAGCAGAGAGAAAGGAAGACAGAATCTGAAGCAGGCTCCAGGTTCTAAACTCTCAGCTCAGAGCGCGACGCGGGGCTTGAACTCACAAATTGTGACACTTAACCAACTGAGCCACTCATTTATTCACTTATTTATTCAACAAACATTTGGAGAATGTTGACTATGTGCAGCAACCTAGTATTTCTAGAGTGATCGATTCATCTCAGAGAGGTCAAATGACTTGCACAAAGGCACATAGCTCACAGGAATGGCAGATGCACAGCTAAACATCAGGCATGTTAACCTCTAGGTTAAGAAGAACTAGGCCAGAGAGCTTCTCCCTGTGCCCCTGCTCCGGTGTCTTCCAAGTCCTATCACAGAGTTTGGTCTTCTAAAGATGAGAACAATGAACCCCCCACAGGGCATGCCAGAACATCGGCCTTCTCCAACAAACGAGAACTTGCAAGCACACAGATAGCCATCTTATTTAGGTGTGTGTTCAGTTTCTACTTTGGGACCTCAGGAATTATCTACATACCATGCCCTAGGCTTTTTTTCTGGTCAGTTATTATTCGTTTGTGGAAAAATGAGAAACTACCCTGGGAAAGAAACAGGGAATTGAGGAAAGCGATTTCTCTGGACATATGGCATCACCTTACACCTTTGAACCCCAACTTTTCAGTGTTTCCTACCCCATGGTCTTTAATTATGAAGGCAATTAATCAATGCATCCCAACTGTTCAAAAGAATTGAAAAATCAAAGAACATGGTGGGGGTCCAGGGAGAAGGAATGCAAGTTCTCCTTTACTTCCTTAAATCCCTCTCTCCCCTATCCTGGACCCATAACGCTTTAATTCCCTACCCTCCTCCCTTCTTTCCTCTTGACCCCATCAGTGTCTCCAACCCATATCCAAGGCTTGGTTTAAATAATCTGTAACTTGGGGCGCCTGGGTGGCTTAGTCGGTTAAGCGTCCGACTTTCACTTAGGTCATGATCTCGCGGTTCGTGGGTTCGAGCCCCGTGTCGGGCTCTGTGCTGACTGCCGGCTCAGAGCCTGGAGCCTGTTTCAATCTGTGACTCCCTCTCTCTCTCTGACCCTCCCCTGCTCATGCTTTCTCTCTCTCTCTTAGAAATAAAACATTAAAAAAAAAATTTAATAAATAATCTGTAACTTTATGTTCTGGGGCACCTGGGTGGCTCAGTCGGTTGAGTATCCAACTTTGGCTCAGGTCCTGATCTCGCAGTCTGTGAGTTGGAGCTCCGCACCAGACTCTGTGCCTACAGCTCACAGCCTGGAGCCTACTTCAGATTCTGTGTCTCCCTCACTCTCTGTCCCTCCCCTGATCATTCTCTCTCTCTCTCTCTCAAAAATAAACATTAAAAATTTTTTAAATAATCTGTAACTTTAGGTTCAACCTATTACTGAGGATTTTCCCCCTTGTGTCCTGTTTCAAAGATCTTTTCTAATTTAGAACATAGCTTAGAGGCCCCCTCCCTGGCTTCAGTTAATTTGCCAGAGTGGCTCACAGAACTCAGGGAAACACTTACGATTACCAGTTTATTAAAGGATGTGATAAAAGAGGCATATGAACAGCCAGATAGGGCAAAGGGCAATGTCTGGGAGGGTCCTGACTCCAGGAGCTTCTCGCCCCATAGAGTTGGGGTATGTCACCCTCCCAGTACGTGGATATGTTCACCAACCTGGGAGTTCCCCCAAACCCCTACAATTAAGATTTTATGGAGGCTTTCTCATGTGAGCACAATCAATTATTAACTCCATTTCCAGCCCCTCTCCCCTCTCTGGAAGATAGTGGTGAGGCTGAAAATTCCAAGTTTCTAGTCTTGCTTGGTTTTGTGACCATCCAGGTCCCCATCCAGAGTCGCCTCAATAGATAAAAGATGCTCCTTGGTGCTCTTATCACTTAGGGATTTACAAGGACTTCCGGAGCCTTGTGTCAGGGACAGGGTCAAAGACCAAATATTAGAACAAGAGATGCTCCTAATGTTCTTGTCCCTTAGGAATTTACAAGGGTTTTAAGAGTTCTGTGCAGGAAACTGGGGGCAGAGACCAATACACACTTTTTTGGTGTTATCTCACAATTAGTTACAATTTGTTCTACTTACTAGCTTCCAGAAGGTTCTACAATCATCTCCCTCGTTTTTTCTTGGTCTTCTGTGTAATCGGTTCTGCTGTAACATAGCATACTCATTCGGAAAAACCACCATCCCGTGCATCACCATGCAACCTGACCACAGGACTTTTGAAGGAATAAAACTAGGGTTCAGGGCACAATACTTAACATCTTCATCAGTGACACGTTAAAAAAAGATAGGAACCTAATGAAAATGGTAGCGCAGTTTTACACATATGAAATGGTTAGGAAATACATAATGACTACAAGAAATTGGGCATTTTACCTGGAAAGAGACTCAGTTGGCTTGTGGACATGGGCATGGGAAGGGTAGCAGCTTGTTAGCTGTGGTGAAGTTACCGCAAGTTACCTGCGGGAGGAGGGTTATCTGACATCCAGTGAAGGGTGGTGCCACCTGGTGTGGGTGGGCGGAGCTGGGTAGATGTTAGGGTTGTGTGCATTTTGTGTGTTCCTACACAGCTGGGTGCAGTTGTCTGCATTCATCCACAATCCTCACAGACAAAATTGTGCATCGGGAATCCTGAAGTGCACACTACAGGCAAATTGATCCATAATATATAATTGTGTCACAACCAATTCTCATTTTCCAAACATCCAACTGTAACTGGATTTAAGGTTTTATTTTTTTAATTATTTAAGTTTATTTATTTATTTTGAGAGAGAGGGAGCACAAGTGGGGGAGGGGCAGAGAGGAGAGACAGAATCCCAAGCAGGCTCCACGCGATCAGTGCAGAGCCCGATATGGGGCTCGAACTCACGAACTGTGAGATCATGACCTGAGCCAAGATGAAAAGTCAGACGTTTAACCAAATAAGCCACCCAGGTGCCCCTAAATTTTTAAAATCAACAAACCTCACTGCAGTTTGATGGGTTTCAGAAGGGAACAGAGTTAAATATGTGTATTCAATCTGCCAGATTTAACTGGAAGCTCTCGGGGGTTTTTTAACCTGAATGTCTCCCACAGGTAGATAGTGGGATCTTCAGGCTAAGGACTGGTGTCTCTATCTGCATCTCCCTACTGTTTGGCACAGCATCTCACCTTCATTTGGTGCTCAGTCATGTTTATTAAAACAATTGGCATGAGGGGAGCCTGGGTGACTCAGTTGGTTAAGTGACCAGTTCTTGGTTTCAGCTCAGGTCGTGATCTCATGGTTTATGGGGTCAAGCCCGACATCAGGCTCTGCACTGACAGCCGAGAGACTACTTGGGAATTTCTCCCTCTCCTGCTCCCTCTCTCTGTCCCTCCCCCACTTGTGTTCTCCCTCTCTCCCTCCCTATCTCTGTCAAAAACAAACTTTTAAAAAAAATCTGTAAAATAAAAGTTGACATGAAAGTTGTTGTGTAACCATGTAATGCATCAAATACAAAATATTTGTGTAAGTTCATGAAGACAGACTCTTCTAGATTTCTGTCTCCAGGAGATGCCCTTGACTTCAAGGAACATACAGCCGCCAAACGTTCCAGCTGGAATTTCTCCAGTCAACAATCCTTTAGCCCAGCTAGACATTTCCTATTTGAAATCTGACAAGAGACCCAGAATGCTCTGGAAGGGGCTGCCTTCTCCCAGCCAACATTGCAGCTCCCTCAGGCGCACACCAACCGGGAGCTGTCTCTTCCCGGTATCTCCACGAACACTGACATAGGGAGAAAGTAGGTAGGCACCTCATGATCCTCTGCACATCAGGGTTCAAAGCCTGCCTCTGTCAGTCAGGTTCCAATAAGGAAACAGCAGTCACACCAGTTTTTTGAACAGAGAGAACTCAATGTAAAGAATTGTTAACTAGGTGTAGAGTGTTGACCAGGCCCTTAAAAGGGTAAAAAGAGAACCCCAAGATAGGACCGGACTGGCACAGGTGGAAGCAGCTACCATAACCAGGTCTGAGTGAACAAATAAAAGAGATTAGGGCTATTAAAACTCAGAAGCTTAGGGGAAGGGCCCAGAAACACGGTCCTAGCCACAAATCGGGCTCATGCTGACATCGTGGAACCTGCTTGGGATTCTCTCCCTCCCTCTCTCTCTCTGACCCTCTTGCACTCACTCTCTCTGTCTCTCCCTAAATAAATAAACTTTAAAAAAATAATAATAAATGAATAAATCAGCCTTAGTCAAGGGCGTAATTAATTGAGATACCTTGGTGTATCTCAATTTCTGGCTGAGTTGTACAATAAAAATTTCTTTGGATCTTCCACTCTTGCCATCATTCCCTGTATACAGCAGGCACTCCTTAAATGTTTCTTGAATAAAACCAAACATATTCAGATGTATGCTAATTATATCAAGATACTTTTTTGCCTATTAAAGTATAAGCTATTTTTTGAAATAATAATCTGACAATGTTGTTTGAGTGTGGCATTCAAATTAGGTCAACCCTTCAGAAGACATTTAGTGAAAACATATTTATGAAGGTGTCCATCATTGTTTATATGTCCTTTATATATTGTTTATATAGCCAGAGAAAGAGAGGAAGAGAGGGAAAGAGGGAGGGGCGGAAGGAGGGTGGATAGAGGCACATCCCACATATCCTACAATAAAGGAGTAGTTGAGTAAGTTATGAAACAATCCCTCATTAGTATAAAATGCCAGCATTTAAAATCAGAGTTGCACAAATAGTGTTGTACCATGGAAAAAATATTTAACTTCAGAGAGAGTGGATAGCAAACCAAACTTTGGAGAAACACCTGGGTTCCAATCTTAGCTCTACCATTTTGTAGAAGTGTCACTTTGCACTGTCTCCCCGAGCCTCGACTTATCTCTAATATCAGAAAAATACCTACTCTGCAAGATTACCTTAAGGATTAAATGAGACA